TGTGTGTGGTCCCAAACCTCCATTAGCCAATCCCAGGGCAATTAGCACTAGGTAAAAGTGTTGGGAGTGCACCGATGGCACCCTTAACAAAACAGTGATTGCAACAAACCCCTCCAGAGATGTGGCCCCAGCCTCTGCCCTGCAATCTGAGCTGGCCATTGGGGAATATCTACACGGCAATGTAAGCCCGTGGTTAGTGGGACTTGAGTCAGTTGACCCTGGGTTAGAGAACCTGGGGCTTGAGCATCTACACTGATTGTTAACTCTACGTTAAGAATGTTCTAACCCAGGCTTGAACCTGGGGCTCTGGTGTCCACACTACAACATGCAGATCCGAGTCAAACCAACCATATGTCACACTCCTATGTGCTATCCTAGATCCGCTTACTCTTGCCCTTTGACAGGGTGCATTGGGGAAAACTTTGCTGTCCACCATGCACGTTACAGGAAGTTTGAACAGCTGCAAACACAGCCCGCAGAGCAACATGGAGGAGGTGCCTTTTGAAGAACTCCTGCTTGTGCTTTTGCTCCTGTGTCAGGAATTGGGCAGAGCTTCCGTGAGACGCCGGTGGATGTTTTGGTGGCGTTTTCTGACCCACCTGAGGCACCGGGCAAGGCTTGTGATGGAGCAGGGGGAAGAGGAGGAGAAGGCAGAGTCAGAGGACAAGGGGTACCCAGGCATGGCAGACTTGCATTGGCTGATGCTGCTCAGTACACTCAGTATAGCTGCTGATGCCCCCTACGTAGACTGGCACAGGGCTGTTGGCATCACATTGTTATGTAGACCTGGGATGACCAGCAGTGGGTCCAGACCTTTTCCATGAAGAAAGCTGCATTTCTGGAGCTTTGTGAGCAGCTTGCCCCCACCCTCCAGCGTAAAAGACAAACACATGAGGGCACCCTTACCAGTCCAGAAGCAGGCTGCTTAGCCATCTGGAAGCTGGCTACCCCAGACTGCTACAGGTCCGTTGTGGCTTACCCGAAGGTGGCAGGCATACAAGATATTCCTGAGGTAATTGCTGGCTTTGAGAGAATGGGGTTTCCAGACTCTGCCAGGGTCGTTGATGGAACTCCTGTGCCCATAGTTTGCCCTCCTCAAGGAGCACAAATACATAAATCGCAACGGGTACCACTCCATTGTTATACAGACCCTTGTGGAGACTACAGGTCAACTGGTGAATGCCAATGTGGGCTGCACTGGGAAAGTTAATGATGCCAGGGCTTTTCATTGCTCAGGAGTCTATGCTAATGGACAGGCTAGGACACTATTCCCACCAAATGACGACATTATAATAAGTGGTGTTACTGTCCCCACTGTTATTCTGGAGGAGCCCGCATGCCCCCTTTTGCCCTAGCTTACGAGACTGTGCCCTGATTTCAGAGGCTCTGGCAAAAGATGGTTTAATTACCCTCTCAACAGGTGTAGAATGGTGGTTGAATGTGCTTTTGGCAGATTGAAATCATGTTGGAGATGGTTACAGAGCTGTTCGGATTCCAGTGTTGTCAATGTTGTCCGCATTACTATGGCTTGCTGTGCTCTTTGCAGTCTTTGTGAAGCCAGAGGTGAGCCCTTTCCCCCTGAAGGGACCTATGACAGTCACGGGCCACTGGATCGGTTCCCTCAGCCAGAAAGTGCACCTACCCCAGCTGGAGCTGGTTGCACCCAGGCAACAGATGTCAGGGATGCTTTGTGTTCTCATGTTATGGACTTGCATGGCCCAGTGGAAGCGGGGGAGTAGCACCTCTATAAATGTGCTTGTGGAGGGATGGGGCTAATTGATTTGTGGGGGTTCAGTGCTTGGGTTGGGCTGGGGGCTTGAGTGACATGCAGTGTATCTATGAATGACGTGACAGTTTATGAAATGGGGGGTGGGGAATGATTCACAGTATGGACTCATATAAGGAAGTGATTGAAGTGTGGATGGCTGTATCTAATTGCATAGAGAATTAGTGTTTGCTTACTAATTCCTAATTGCTCCTGATCATGTGTTTACCTTTATTGTTTCAAATACAGATTGTATGATGAGATGCGGTAATAGCAATAAACTTTCTTGATGACCTAAAAAGCTTATGTTTATAAACATGTTTTAAAACAGTACAACATCCTCTCATTGCCAGGCAGGCCAGCTGCTATTATCACACCAAAACACCAGTTACAACAGAACTTTTCCAAAACAAAACAAAACAAAACAAAAAGTGCACGAACAAGTATGAACAGTGAAATCTATCTACACAACACAGACCCTGGGCCCGCATTCTCCTTTCCCTTCTTTCCCCATTTGCCATGCACTTGACACCTGGGGAGGGAGGGTGGAAGTATCCACAGGGGAGCGGGCCAAGATGGAGGACTGCGTGGTGCTAAGTGCCCCAGCTGCTCATGGGGCCTGATTGCATGGGCCATCCAGCCGTGGAGTTTTTTCCAAGCTGTTTCACTACGTCCCAGGGTATGGCACAGGGCACTCAGGTCATGGTGTGGGAGAGGCAGAAGGAGCCAGTACTCTTGAAGCCGTGATTGATATCAGCTACTCAAACAGCTCTCTGCTGAGCTCTGTTCTCCTCCCTTAGCCATCATTCCTGTTCCCAGAACTGCAAAGCCAAGTGGATGCTCCTGTGCTGAAACCCTGTCCTCAAGCTGTGCGGCCAGCCTCAGCTTTCCTCTTGCCTCTCACCATACCTTTTCTTTAGCTGCAAGTCCCCCCTGTTTCTGGTACTAGACCTGCTTGTTGGCCCTCTCCAAATGTCAACCATGGGGTGATTACAAAAACACTTTCTCTTGGAACAGTCCACAAAGGTATGTTTCAGGTTTGTGCTGCACTTGTGAGTGAGCTTGGCAGTACTGCAGCCGGTCGAGGGGCCTGGAATAGGACAAGTCACAGAGGATTATTGCCTCAAATAAGGAGCACAGAAAAAAATCCCTGTGGCAGTTTCAAGGGTATAAAATATTACTTTTCCAAACTGAAATTCAGTATATTGTGAGAGGGATGTTTCAGTCCACAGAAGCTCCCTGCACACATCCTGGTTAATCACAGCAAAAGAAATGCAGAGACCATGGTAAGTTAAAAATTCAGTGTTTTTGTTTTCTAAAAATTTCAGAACTACTTGGGGGCAGTCAGTGGCCTAGCTTCAAAAGCTTTTTCTATCATTTCAGGCCTTTCACATTTTGGCGGATGTAACTGTTCTTATGGTTCCTGATTGGCAAAGGGAAATGTTATTCCAAGCTGCTGGTGGGAAACCTGCAGTGTATACAGCTGAAGTATTCAAATATCTAGTGACTGAACAGCACAGCTAGGAGTGGAGTTGAATTTTTAAACCTAAAGGTTTCCAAGTGCATAGTCCATAATGGGTGTCACATGATGAGAGCAATTTTTTATAAAATATAAAAGTTATGAACACTTGAATGTATCAGTTGACAACTTCAGATGATACTGAGACACTGTATATGCCTTAAAATACTGTGGGGTACAGTTAAAGTTTCAACCTTACTTTTGCATTTCTTGATTTCTTTGAGTGACTGGTTGCTCAGTTTTAACATTGATGTTTTTGGCATAGAAATAATAGTATGAAAGCTAAATTGAATAACTAACTTCAGAACTTTATTTCTCATGGTAAATTCTCCTTTAAAGTGCCTGAAGCATGCAAGATGTCACCTTAGCAATGCCCCTATGCTGCTGTGCAGTGCAGAGAGAAGGAAATCAAAATGATCCATTCTCATCACATGCATAATCCATTTGCAGTAGAAAACTTCGCCTCCATTGAGATCTCAACCAAACTGGAAGGCCCCTGGCTCTGACCTAGTTTTCTGTATCACTGATAGTATTTCTCCTGACCAGGTGCTCCTCAGTTTTCTTATCTGCCTTCTGTATGTTTAAGCAAAGACTTCTAAGCTTGTAATTCAGGGAGGCCATTGTACCAGGACTACACACACGTGTGACATCCTCCACTCCTTCCTCAGTTAACTTTAACATGATGTGCTACGCTGTGAGCTCCTTGTGCCCATTGGTGAGTAGTTAGTTACATGAGTAGCACCTTCGAATCCACTGAATTGAGTAAGCATTCACCAGTGGGAGTTAGGACTCCATGCAGCCTAACCCTATGTAAAGATCCAACACTTCTGTCTTCAAGTGAGCACACATGCAATGCTACCATTTTCCTAAAGGGTACCCAGATTGTCTTGGGGTATCATAGTGTTCCTGTTCTGCTGTCGGTAATTTTGTCAGCACCATAGAATAAAGTAGAAAATTGAAACTCTGAGAAAGATCAACAAATCCGTGCGGAATGTCACGCAGCAACATCTGTTAACTAGGCTCTATCTCTTTCTTTGACTCTCCTTTCAAACCCCAAATCTCCTGTTTTGAGAGTTTGGAGTGATAGGAGCTTTAAAAGGAATTCTAGCTGTTTGTTTCTTTGTGGTCTGAAAGCCTTGAAAAAGTACCATTTTGGAATTAAAATTTTATATTTGCATGTTTCTATATTTTAGTTATGGAACAAATGGGAGTTTGCTGAATGAATTAATTGTGTTCCATTGTAAAAGTCTATCATGAGAGCCATTATATATGGTAGCTTAGAAAGCCCTGCAGAGAGAAATTAAAGTCACTTCCCTTTCTAATCAGGGCTTTCAGGAAATCGTTGATTACAAAATCTAATACAATTGCTCAGAGACATTTGTTTGATATTACTTCTGATAAGTGAAATTTTTACGCAATTTCACCAGTGAGTCTGGAAGCAGCTACACTCTCTTTGATGGCAAGACTGATTTCACTAAAGCGCTTCCTCTTATCCCTCTAAAGAATTATAGCTAACAAAACATTAGTTCCATACTGTAGGTCCGGTATAGAATTAAAATTACCATCAGGAAATGGCTAATATAATGGACAATATGTTGTTTAAAGGTGGACTGAACATCACATTAAGTGTAAACTTATCCCACCTAACCTCCTTGAAGGAGCCAGCAAAAAAATTATGGCACATTTTAAAGTTTCATTGTTATTCCTTTTCAACAGAGTCAGCATATTTCATTAGCGCCCATCCAAAAACTGGAGGAAGCACTGTATGAGTATCAGCCACTGCAAGTCGAGACCTATGGACCACAAGTTCCAGAAACTGAACTTCTAGGAAGGCTAGGGTAAGTAGCACATCAGAACTTTAATCTCCGTTTCATGGCGTTGTATCTGGGAATGTTACCATCTTCACTTTGCCAGCAGCATATAGATTTTTTTTTTTTAAATATCTTAATGAAATATTAGACTTCCTGCACAACCATCGTTTTGTTTGGGTGGATAAGCTACATTTTTTTGGTCTTCTAGCCTTTATAGATCTATTGAGAGCTAAACTGGATTGCATTAGTATTTTTTAAGGTTGTCGTTGGCAGCCATAGTGAAGTAGCTGTTCATTTTCAGTTGCACTGTATTAAAGAGTAAATAAATAAAAAATCGGGGTTTAATTTACCCAGCAGTTAGCCAGTAAAAATATCAAAGCTGGGCCTTTTGCCATGGAAAAGGGTAGATTTACTCACTGACTGCCATCTACAGTTAAACAACGTTTGTGAAAAATGAAGCATAGAGCTTAACTTTGTCAAAGTATAATGCAGGGCTGGCCCAGCAGTTTGGCTGCATTGCAGTGTGCGTCCATGTTTGGAAGGGAACTTAGGAGCCTAGTGTTCCAAGGTAATGGAGACTAAATAGCACAATAGTGGCATGCCTGCTCTCCACTAAAGAGGTTAGTAGCTGAACACCCGCTAAACACGTACACGACCAGCCAGATGGATAGTGTCATTGAGCTGGGTCTGCCTGACTTCAAGGTCATGCACCCTTGTTACTTCTAGAAAACACACTGCAGAACAAAGAAAATGCAGGATGTCGGGGGAAGAAACAAAATTAAAAAAAAAATCCCAGAACGTGCATCCAGGAGAACTGAGGCCCCAAAATACCAATGAGAGAGTATAGCTGGGAGGGACCCTTTGGTATGCATCTTGGGCCTGATCCAAAGTCCACTGAAATCCAAGGAAGGATTCCCATTTACTTCAGTGGGCACTGCCAACACATGCTGTTGTGTTTTCAGATGAGAAATTACACTCCTCATCCTGGGAGGGCATAGAGGTCTCAAAAAAGGTTTTAAAACACAGTCAGCCCTGATGGATAAGCAATCTAAAACACAGTGCTGCCGAAATACCTTCAAGCTTGTCTAGAATCACTTTTATTGTTTGTGTTCCCATGTATTCCTGATGCCTATGGTTTTCATTATCTGATCTCAAGTTTATCAGAGGAAATATTCATCAGCTATCCCAACCCGGACATAGCTGGAGCCGGCATTCGCCACCTGTTCGAAACACAGCTGTAGGGGCCCTGCTGCAGGGGGAGTTCTGAAGCTCCATCAGCCATGGACCTTTTTACAGATGAAAATGTTCGGGGGGAAAATAAGTCTTTCTGTGGGGAGCCCCCTAGGCATTGGCATTTCATGTATAACATATAACCTGGGTAACTTGTGCGAGGTGAGAGCTCAGAATCTTTCTATAATAGCTATCTCCATAGTATCTAAGAGTGTGTGATGCTTGTTCCAGGAGAATTCAGCTTCTTGGAAAGCAAACCCCCTCTAAGTACTGCATAGCTTCAGTCTAACTGCTAATGTTGCATACAGTAGCCCCAGTCTTGCAAATACTTATGCTCATGCTTAATTTCTGGAGATGCACGGTCAGCAAGACCCACTTAGCAGAGATGTTCAGGAAGAGGTAGTAGTCTGACTGTGTGTGTGTGTGGGGGGGGGGGGGGGGTCTGAGCTCTTCCTGCATGGGATGGCCTCAAGAATGCAATCCCACTTGGCTGCCAAATGCAGGTGATGAAAGTGTTTGAGTGATTTGGTGGATGTCAATCTGCCACATGTAGAGAAGCTGTGAATTTCCCCAACTGAGTCTAGAGGCCTTTTGTAACTTAAAAACAAATAATATACCCATCCTGCATGTGCCCTGCTGTTACTCCTCAAATCCTATTACACTGGGTATTTTTAATATCTTAGACCATGCAGCACCCTACTCCTTTATATATTGGTTTCTGTATTTGCATGAACTCATGCTCATCTGATGATAAATACTTAACAAATGTGTTGTGGACCCATGGCTGGCCTTTGAGGCAGCTGCAAACAGCTGGCTGAATGAGGCAGATGGGTTGAGCATAATGGTGTAACATGCTCCTACTGAAGACTTTTAGCTCCCTTTCAACTTGAACCCTATTACAAAGGTTAAATTTAAGAGGACACAGATTCTCAGTTTCTGCATCTCTCTCTCTACTTGTCCCCCTCTGAAGTGAATATTTTCATTGGTCTATGGAAATTAGTGAGGTTTCACTTGATCATTCAAATTTCTCAGTTTTATAACACTGTAGTTAGTCATAGACGACAGCAAAATTTCTTGTCCCTATAAAAATATTGCAGCTTGAAAACTGCAATTTATTGCTTGCTGGACAGTTCCCCAAAACATGCAGACTTCAGTTCATCCAAACCTCAGGAACCAAGATTTTTGCAAATACTCTGCCAACCTAGTGTGGAGCCTTTACATTTATTCTGGTAGCATCTTTTATTGATTTTAAGATATTGTTTATTACCTTCAAAGCACTCAACAGGCTGGATCCTTCAAATATTCTGGTCTTAACCTCATATTTTCCACAACACTCACATCAATCTTCAGAGCAAGGAAGGCTGCTCCTTTTGTAGTTTGCTGGAGTCTGCTGAGAACAAATGGGGTGATTAGCACGAAGAGTAAGAAAGAGGATAAATTCTCAAGAGCTTATTTTAGGACTCTTCGTACTTTTCTTTTTTCTAAAAAATGGTGGTTCATATTTAAATTGTCCTATACCAGTTACTCACTAGGCTTTAGATAATTAAATTGTGTGGGGACTGATAAGCTCTGCAAAGCATGCCATTTCTCAAACATTTTGGGCAAGCCACATGGGAAAATCAGTGTTCAAATAGTTTTTTAAAAATTGTTTCCAAGCTCTCAAAGGAAAAGGGTAACTAAGTGCTACAACTTTTTTTGTAACCTTCATGAGTGTTTTTGATATCAACTCCTTTAAAAGCCTGAAAATAATTTAAGAAATAGATTTTCAACACACATGAATGACAGCGTATATATATATTTTTTCCCCTCTGGTGTATCTCAGGAATAGTTTCCTGAATCACTGGTATATAGATGATATTCCCAAATTACGTGTGTTTCTATGGCAATTATTATTTGCTCCTGACAAGATGCAAACAAGGATTGAACTTTGTCAATGGGAGTTAAAGTTTCTCATTGCTAACTGCTAATTGAGATTCCCCTGACTACTCTTGGATTGGGTTAGTATAGGAAATCTCAGTTGCTGGCAATGCAAGGCTACTTTTCTCATAATTCCGGCTTTTAGTGTTTTTAAAATAAAAATATGAGTTTTTGGTGCTGGTCTGTAATTGAGATGGGAAACAGGTAAAAATAATTAGCAACAAAACTGAACATAAATCCTATTGGTGGTTCTGCAATTTAACTCTTTCACATGTAGGGTAACGATGGACTTCTGCTCAAAAAATATCCCTTGATACTGGTAATCAGGATAACGATAGTCCAGATCCTTAATTTTTCACTTGGTTAAAATTTAAACAGAAATTTGTGGTGAGCCAAATCTGAATACCTCTGAACACCTTGAACCTTGTTGTTCTGGGTATAGATAATACACCAAAGATTGCGAGGCACTCACATACTGTGGTGATGGGACCCAAATAAGCACCTTAGATGGATAGATCAGAGCAGTCCCCGGGCCATACATTGGATAACGATCAAATGTCCATGCTGATATTCCTAGATATATCAGCTTCAGGTGGTGGTGGTGGTACGGCTGTTGGGTGACTCAGTGCCTTCTTTTGAGCATTCCTAGAGGGGAATGGCCAACACCAGCTCATCTTTCCTAAGCGTCCATTCATGAGTCCACAGAGTTCTGTCTGGTCTCCCCTTCTATTCACTGTGTATAGGTGACCATTGGCAGAGTTAGTGCAGTCTTGGGCTGCATGTCTTCATTATGTTGATGGAGCCCAACTCTCTATTTCTGTCTTATCTAACACCATACAGTGTTGCCAAGTGCCTTACCTGTGGTCTGTTTGGGACTGAGATGTGAAGGAATGCTAGCTTGCTAAAGCTCAATTAGGAAGAATGAGGTGAAGCTGGTAGGTTATGAAAAGCAACTGAGAAATAAGTTCTCCATTGAAGCTGTGTCTGTGCATACCATTTGTTACTAGAGTTTGCAGCCTGAAGGTATTGCTGGCGCTCCAGCTGCTGTTAGATGGCCATGTAGCAGCAGTATCCAAAAAGGCTCTCTTTCATCTCCATTTGACCAGGTGATTGAGATCACTTCTTTTGCATGCAGACCTTGCTACTGTGATCCATGATCTCGCACTTCTGCAGCGACGACTGTAATGCACTTACACCTGAAATCCACTCCAGTGTTCAGCAATATGCATAGGTGGCCTGTTGGTTTCTGGGTGGAGTTTTAAAGTGTTGGTTTTGACCTGTAGAGCCTTAAATAGTGTGAGACCTCCCTGCTTGAGACCTCTGCAGTACTGGCATGGCTGTGCTCAACAGAGAAACTCAAGCTAGCATCACTTGATTTAAAGGAGAGAGAACTGCTAGCATGGTGTTCTGTGTGAGACGCTTTTGGGACATGGGAACTTTCGCTCTTCTCTAGTCCAAAATAACCCAGATGCACTGACCTTTGTATAATATTGCAGGGCCCATTGATTTATATAGGCTTTCAGGGTGGAGGTGTTAAAATACAATTTTCTTTCTGGTTGGTTACTTTTTGGTGTTGAAGTAGGTGGAAGATGCTGGGTGTGTTTGTGATTGGACTTTGAATTTATGCCTGCGGGTCCCGGTACCTGGAGTATGCAGGATTTCTCATACTTATAAATCAAGAGAAATTTTACAAAATAACTTGCAAATATGTTGATTGAAAGAGTAAAACGGAAACTGGGAACTGACTCAATCATCTTCCCTTACTCATGTCAGTAATACCACTGACTGAGAGTGCTAATATCTTTGCTGTTATGTAACCTTGATTAAAAAAAACCTAAGGATCAAAACCATGTCCTTTTTATGTCCCTCTGATGTCTTTT